GAGAGAGAAAGAGACTGGTTTTGATGCGTTCTGAATAGGAAAATGGAGACGAGGTATAAGTAGTGAGAGCATGAAAAATGGAAGTGGGAAATTGTTTTCGCCATTTTTGGAGGGATGGATTTCTGAATTTGGATTTGAGAATTTTATTTGCATTAGTAAGTATTTGTTTGGGGGTTTTGGTGAAATTGGGAGGGAGAACAAATTCTGCAATTTTGTGTGAGGCGCGTTTGTTTCAGGTAGTGTAGAGCCCGCTCCTTGGACTTATTCTTCAAAACTTTTTCTTTTTATTTTTTCTTTTTATTTTTTTCTAAAAAATTAGTCACTAAATTATGGCAATAAAGATAAATAATATGTATGAAAACTCATATTATTAAACATTTCTATGTATAAAGCATTCTTGGTTTAATTTTATCCCAAATCTTCTTCTCCACAAATTAAATTTTTCAAATTGTTTCTGTTAGTCTTGAATTTTGAATATTATCACAATATTTTATCATAAACTTCCCTATACACGATTAAAACGTAAAATAAAAACGTATATGTAGATCCGTATTCTATCCACTAGACATTTAAAATTATAAAACACATAAATAACTTCATGCATAAATATATTTAAATGTTCATAACCTCAATATATATATATACATATATTATTTTAAATAAATAATTTTTTTTAATGAAATTAAATCATCTTAAATAATAATAAAAAAGTTAATAAAATTTTATATCAATTCAAAAAGATATATGATGTAGGGAAGCGTACGAATGGGACGATATTAATGAGATCTCAATCTCAAGAACATCTAAACACGAATCAATTCATATTTTTATTCAAAATCAACCATCTAATAACAAAGCAGAAGAGCCCTTTAAATAAGGCTCCTAAGTCCTAACCCTAGACTTTAACTTGTCCAACAAGACAAGATCTCTTACTGAATATTAAACAATAATATTAAATTCTTAACTTATTCTCTAAGACACCTATTAAATAATAATAATAATAATAATAATAATAATAATAATAATAATAATAATAATAATAATAATAGATACTAATCTACACCATTCTCCCCCGGTTCGAAAGGCTTCGAGCTCGAAGCCGATGCGCACCCGTGGCCGGCGTGTGGTGTCGAACCTATGGTAGAAAACCCCCGTCGTTTTCTCCGGTCGAACACGAAGGTGGAATGTCGCATTTCCATGGTCTCACCCCCTTGAAATTCATGGAAAGAAATATATGCAGTAGCCACACACAAAAATTTGAAGTCACTGGTGGGACCAATAAACAACATCTGTTTGCAAGACCGCAACAAATTTCCGTGGAAGAAAAGCTCGGGACAGTGCAACAGAAGAACTAGTGATTCTTCCAACAGCTGAATTTCGATACCCGTAACATGATGGAATTCCTCCAACCCCGTAGGCTCCTCATTGAAAATCGGTGGACCGTCGTAGAGACCGTCCACTTTGCCGGTAAGACGCTCCTCCACCTCCTCGGGTCCTGACCGCGTGTCGCAACGCGGCAAAATTATAATTTATATTTTTCCTCAACTAACCTCTACTAACTAGTAGTAGTGGCGAGCAAGGGTCGATTCCACAGGGAGTGTGAATTAAATTGTGAATTTTCTTGTATTAATTGAAATTATAAAAACAATAAAAAAGGGGATTGGATTTAATAATTAACCTAACTAAAATATTAATAAAGCAAATAATATCTAAACAATGAAAATAAAAATAAAATTAAATAAATGAAGAGAACTTTCTAGTTCACGGTTCCGTCTACACCCTCGACTGACTCGTCTAATCAATTCTGGTATCAAATCTCACTATCTCATAGAATTACTAGCCCTAGGCAACGACACAGTCAGTTACCCGAATTTTTCCTTATTTTTAATTTTACCGCGAGACGCTCTACGATTAAACCTGACTTCTTGTACAGTCCAGAAAAACGTTTTCAAGATTTAATACAATTAGCCGCTTTACGAATTAGAAAAATAGGCTAGACTAAGTAGTGAACTCAACTGCGTTTGTTCACTTAAATAGGCCGTGTTATCCCCGGTAGTTACCATCTTCCGGTTACCTCTTATGAATTAAACACAACAACAATTACGGATTGCAGGCTTAATTCAGATGTAGATATGAAAAGTCTAATCTAGGTGATCAATCTAAACAAGACTAACACATCATGGTGAATTATTCAAAATAACACAAGCAATTCCAAAAAGATAACTCAATAATCAACCACGAAAATTAATTAAACATCGTCAAATCATAGAATTCAACATCACCGGAACTAGAAATAAAATCTAAGCTATCATACTAAATAAAAAGAAAAAAATAGATAAAAGAGAGAGATTAATTATCTCCCTCGTGTACGGGTGCGGCCTCCCTCCGCAATTGTTGGATTCCTCGCGTCTGATTCTCTGTGTTGCTGCTCAAAATAAATCCCCTTCAAAATTGTACAGTGGCTTTGCGTGACGGCTGCTCCCTCGTGAATATGATAGGGGCTGTAGGATTTTCTTTTTATCCCCCCAGTTATTCTTTTCCTTTCAATCTTAATTAGTGGCCTTAGGATTTTTGCCAACTCTTCTTGTAATTGAACTTATGCAATTTGGGCCCACAAATCTCCAAATATAACAAACTCTCATTATTTTTCACGGCTGCGTAAGCTCCCTTCCAATTTGCATGAGTGGGCCAATCAATTAATCAAGTGTTTAAAGGTAATGGGCCCTCAAGCATCTAGGAATTATTTAGCCTTCAAAACATATCATTAGGGCCTGAATTTGGGCTCAACTCTGAGTAAAATTTCCTTTGGTCCACGTCGTCCACCAAAATTACTTCAATATCTTAAAAATAAACCATAAAAATATCAAAGTACAAGAATCCATCTAACAAATAAATAAGTCGAAAGATATATAAGTGCGACAAAATTAAGCATATAAAAATACGCTAATAAATATATAATATACACACTTTTTTCGACCAATCAGGTCCTTCATAGAAAATAGGCGGACCATCGTATAATGGCCCGTCAACTTGCTCTCCATCGAATTCGGGGATGTCAACACGAAACGGGCCCTCCCATTGACCATATTCGTAATCAAATTCCCTATCGCGACTGACACGATATCCGCAGACGAAGGCAGCCTCCTTGCGCTTGCCTCTATTGTCGCGTTGATCGTCATCGTCCATAAAGACCGGGCCCCGTCCCCGCATGTCACGGCCTCCGTATGCAGCGAAGGGGTCAACCTCGACATGTGGGGGTGAAAAATCGTTGAAGGGATTCACCTCCGAGACTGTCTCGTCGCCGTCTTCGTCGCCAGATGGTGGTTGTGGAGATCCACAGCGGGGCGCCCCGCCTGGACCACGGCCTCCACGTCCTTTACGAATTTCCCCGCACATGCCCTGGTTGCCGGCGTCACGGTACGTTTGCTTGTCCCAAACCATGGTACGGATAGTTAGACGTATATCCCCGATCTCCGCGGACAAATGTGCAATCTGACTACCCATCGTCTCGAGCTCGCGGCCAAACCACTCGGTCCGGCGGCTCAGGTTGTAGATGGCGACACGCCTGTCGTTTGTAGCATCTTGTCGTCGCGACAACATCGTGAATCGTGCTGACTTCTAATACCAACTAATGTAGGGAAACGTACGAATAGGCGATATTAATGAGATCTCAAACATCTAAACATGAATCAATTCATATTTTTATTCAAAATCAACCATCTAATAACAAAGCAGAATAGTCCTTTAAATAAGGCTCCTAAGTCCTAACCCTAGAACTTAACTTGTCCAACAAGACAAGATCTCTTACTAAACAATAATATTAAATTCTTAACTTATTCTCTAAGACACCTATTATATAATAATAATAATAATAATAATAATAATAATAATAATAATAATAATAGATACTAATCTACACCAATATCTATAAATTCATTACTTAGAATTAAAAAAATATTATAATATAAGACCCGAAAATGATATACAGAAAAAATATCAATTTATATTTTAACAATAATGTCAGTTTTTAGAAATTATTTAAAATTTAAATAACAAAACTTTTCCCTTACATTTATTTTTTAAATTTAAATATAATTTTTTAATCTATCATTATATAAAGAGAATAACCTTTTTTACAAATTAGAAACCTTTTCCCTCAAAATCATAAATATATCCTACATATAGTAATTGTTGGACAAATCTGAATAGGCAAAAAAATCGGCTCATTAATTGTGTAAAGATTTGTTTCTCTTTTTCCTGTTTTTCAGTTTATCAAAACCGTTGTTTGGCAATAAATATTTGTTTTTTTTTTTTCTTATTTTTAGTATAAATCTACACGAGCTTATCTCTTCTGTTACAAAATCTCATTGATTGACAATAAATATTTGTTTTTCTTTTTCCTATTTTTAGTATAAATCTACACGAGCTTATCTCTTCTGTTACAAAATTTCATTGCATACGTCTCACGTGTTTAAAAAATCTCATCCATTATCTATACAGATTTGAAAAAGTAAAATAAAATAGAAAAATTCATAATTACTACTAGAAAACCATTAACTTAAAAAAGAAAAAAATAAAATAAAATAGAAATTAATTCATAATTATTACTAGAAATCCATTATCTACTTTAAGAAGCTAATTTTCGGTCTAATTACTAATATTTTTACAAATATTATGAGTTAACTATATAAAAAAGTATAATAATAATTTTGAAATAGTGTGTAATCAAATTTTTTTATATTCTCTTATACAAAATAATTTTACATTGTTTGACCCTAAATCCTTAATTTATAATTATTTAGCATTGTTTATCCTTCTCTTTAATTTATAATTTTTTTTTTCTTCTTCTTTTTAAATATGATCAATATTAGTTTCCACTTCCGCCATTGAGTGACTCAAACTCAAGGTCTATTTATAATATTGTTCACGTGCATCGCACGGGCACACAGAGTGGAGCATAATACTAATGTAGTTGTAAATTAATCATAAAAGAGTCTTCGGAGCGAAGACTGTGGATGGGAAATGGAAATCTGATCCTCTTATCTTGACCACACAACATCATTCACAGATAACCAAAAAAAATATACAAAGCCCAAGTGAAGAAGCTAAAAGAAAAACACAGCACACCAAGTGATAACCAATGGCGGGAATCTCCAGTGCTGCTATATTGGCCTCTCGGCCATGCTCTTCGTGCTCATCCAAGACCAAATCTTTCTTCTCTGTACACTCATCTCATGGTATTTGGATAACAAACACACCCTTGTTTTTTTGTTTCCTTCTTCTTTCTTCTTATTTATCTGTGCGTGCTGAAACAAATCCTTTGTTTCTCTTGCTGCAATTACGTACTTTTGTGCCTAATTATTTATGAGTGAACAAAATATGTTGAATTCTGGTTTCGGTGGATGAAAATTGGAAAAGGGCTTGTAATGGACGCTGATTCATTTTTTTTTTTTTCTTTTCTGATTTGTCTTTATTTGTTTCATCACAGGGCGGAAATTCTATGGAGGGATTGGAGATCCTCTCAAGAATGAACGGTTTCAATTCCGCCTCTCAATTTCTAATGTTGCCACTGACACTAGTCCCGCCGCCCAGGACCAGGTTTCAGTTTATTTAATTTAATGGTTCTGCAATTTAAATGGTTATGAATACAAAGTTTTCCCCTTCTTTATTCTTTTTTATTTTCACTTGACTGCAAGTTGATTTAAGATATGTTTATAAGTGTCTGTCCATAGTTGTGCTAACTTGTTGAAACTTGAAACCCCTTCTGTTCTTTTCATAAACTAGAGTATTATTATCTGAACTGATCCCTTTACATATTGTTTACATTTGGGTACTTTTATGTCATAGTAGTCTAGTAGACTAGTAGTCTAAGAGTATGTCTTCAAGCAATGTTTTATCCTCACACCATTAAATTCTGTTCACTAGAGTGTGATCAGTGACAATATGCTGAAAAATATTCAAAAACGTTCGTTTCAGGTCCAAAAGCTCCCTTCCTCCAAGGAATCCCAAAGGCCCGTTTACCCGTTTGCAGCCATAGTCGGTCAAGACGAAATGAAACTCTGCCTCCTCCTAAACGTAATCGACCCTAAAATCGGTGGCGTCATGATAATGGGCGACCGTGGCACGGGCAAATCCACCACCGTCCGCTCACTAGTCGATCTCCTCCCCAATATCCAAGTAGTCGCGGGCGACCCGTTTAACTCCGACCCGGAAGACGCCGAGGTCCAAGGCCCGGAAGTTCGCGAACGGGTCTCCAAAGGCGAACAACTCCCGATAATCCTCACCAAGATCAACATGGTCGATTTACCGTTAGGCGCCACCGAAGATCGAGTATGTGGCACGATCGACATCGAAAAAGCTTTAACCGAAGGCGTAAAAGCTTTCGAGCCGGGACTTCTCGCTAAAGCCAATCGAGGCATTCTTTACGTTGACGAGGTCAACCTTTTGGACGATCATCTTGTGGACGTGCTTTTGGACTCAGCTGCTTCGGGTTGGAACACGGTTGAAAGAGAGGGAATCTCGATTTCTCATCCGGCCCGTTTTATTCTAATTGGGTCGGGAAATCCGGAAGAAGGCGAGTTACGACCCCAGCTGCTCGACCGGTTCGGGATGCACGCACAGGTACGGTTGTAAACGAATCGAATCAAAGCGAATATTAAGATATTCGATTCGCATTCGTTAAAATATTCGAGGATTCGAATTCGTAGACAAACTCATTTTTTTGATTCGTATTCGATTCGAAATTCGTTTTCAGAAAAATATTATAATTACAAAAAATATTTTTTATGTTTTTCTTATCTAATTTGAGATGTTTTGAGGCAAATTATTAATTTGGGATGTTTTTACTTTTTATGTCATAAAAATATTAGAAATAATATATATATATATATATTATAAACAAAATTACTATATTTAATTTATAAAATTTATATAATTATCCTTAACGAATCGAATATCGATAATTCGAATTGAATATCTACAAATTCGAATTCAAATTCGTTTAACTTTCGAATACAAAACATTATTCGTATTCGAATTCGAATCACGAATATCGAATTCGAATATCGAATCGAATCAAAATAATTTGATTTGTTTACAAGCCTACGCGCAGGTGGGGACTGTCAAAGATGCCGAGCTCCGGGTCAAGATTGTTGAGGAGAGGGCCCGGTTTGACCGGAGCCCGAAGGAGTTTCGTGAGTCCTACTCGGCCGAGCAGGAGAAGCTCCAGCAACAGATATCGGCTGCTAGGGGATCACTCTCGACTGTCACGATTGATCATGAACTTAGGGTTAAGATATCGAGGGTTTGTGCTGAGCTGAATGTTGATGGGTTGAGGGGCGATATCGTAACTAACCGGGCGGCGAGGGCTTTGGCGGCGCTCAAGGGGAGGGATAAAGTGGCGGCTGAGGATATTGCGACTGTTATTCCGAATTGTTTGAGGCATCGGCTCAGGAAGGATCCTTTGGAGTCGATTGACTCGGGTTTGCTCGTGATTGAGAAGTTTTACGAGGTTTTTAGCTGAGCTGAGTGAGGTACTTTATGATTTTTTTTTCAGCATTTTTTTGTATTTAGGTGTTCAATTCGAAAGCTGCGAAGGAAACGGACAGCTGAATCTATTTTTTTTTTTTTTTGTACT